CCTTTGAGGTTTCACTACAAAACTTTTTCAAGAGTGCTTTGATGGTCTGATGACTACGTTCAAGAGAACCCTGTGAAGCAGGATGATAGGGGCTGGACAATACCTGTTTGATGTTGAACTCCTCCAGTGTCCTTTTGAAGAGATCACTGGTGAAGTTGGTGCCACAGTCACTTTGAATCTCCCTGGGAAATCCGTATTGAGTGAAGATCTTCAGTAGATGTTTGATAACCGTAGCAGCCGTGATGTTCTTCACTGGAACTGCTATGGGAAATCTGGTGGTAGGACACAGGATGGTTAGGATGTAGGCGTTACCTGAACTGGTCCGAGGTAAAGGACCAACACAGTCTATTATGAGTCTGTGGAAAGGTTCCGCAGGCACCTGTATGGGAATCAGTGGTGCTCTGGGAATGGAGACGTTCGGTTTGCCTGCCATCTGACATGTATGACACTGTTTTACGTACTGTTTGACGTTATTTACCATACCTGGCCAGTAGTAGTCTTGGCGAATCCCATGGTAAGTCTTGTTGAAGCCGTAGTGGGAGAATGCTCCATGGGCCAGGTGTAGAATAGTGGGCCGCAGGCTGGTGGGAATCACAAGTTGTTCGGTGTTGGCCCAATCGTCCTCCTCCTTCAGTTTACTGGGTCTATATCTGCGGTAGAGCAAGTCGTTCTCTAGGAAGAACCCAGGAATACTGTCGGGTTGAGTCTCAGCCTGGAAAAACAATGGTGTTAAAGTAAGATCTTCCCTCTGCAACTTACGGAACTCCAACTTGGTCAGATGCGGGGGTAGTTTCTGAGGGTCTTGAGGGACAGCGGTAGCAGTAGAGTCAGCTGGCTGTGGACGTGCGGCTTGTGCACGGGTGGTCACGAGAACCGGAGGAGAAACTTCATCACTCTCTTGAACCTCTGCTGGAACATACTCAAGAATAGGGTTACTTGGCACAGAGTTACACACCTGGGGTTTGTCCATGACGATCAGGTTGGTCGGTTGCAGGTCTTCTGCCAAGTCGTTGCCTAGGAGAAGTTGCACTCCAGGCATGGGAAAAGGCTTTTCCCTGACGGCGACTTGGACTTCCCCGTTCACGTAGGGACAATCCAGGTGGACTCTGGCGAGAGGGTATGGAGTGGTAGCAGTGAGGTCAGTGATGAAGACTGTTTCCCCGGTGTAGACTATGTTGGGCACAGCCGACTTCAAGATGATCGATTGTAGAGCCGCTGTGTCCCTCAAGATCTTCAATTTGAAACGTCCCTCCGGATTTGAACCGTTGGCAGAGACAGTTCCAGTATACAGGTGGTTACTGAAAAGAGAAAGATCATTAACATCAACACCAACATTCATCACAGGCTTACCGGACTTAGGAGGAGTTGGTTTGGGTCGTTGTTGGTCAGTGGTTCCCTTGTATTGAGACTTACCACACTTGTCTATGGTATGTCCATAGAGTCTACAATACTTGCAGTACAGTTGTGAACCAGCTTGATCGGGGCTCACCTTCTCGTAACTGTACCACGACTTCTTACTGGAGGATGGTTCAGGTGTAAGCCGGTGGATGAGGCTGTAAGTGTCAGCCGACTTAGCACACTTCAGGTAGTCGGTTTCTTCTTTATCTGCTAAGTAGAGGCGGACAGGAGGCGGCACACGTCTCAAGAATTCTTCAACAAGCATCAGGTTGACGAGTTCTGTAAAAGTAGAGACATGTGCTGCTTCCAGCCATTTCATGAAATACCTCCGTTTCGTGTTAGCAAACTCGAGGAAGGTAGTGGTACTTGCCTTCAGGTGGTCACGGAATTTCCTTCTATAACTTTCAGTAGAGAGGAGGTAGGCGTCCAACACTGCTTGTTTCAGAGTGTAGTAGTCATTCTCAGACGCCAAAGTACTGAGTGTGACTGCAGCTCTACCTGTAAGATGGACTCTGAGAAGTGTGGCCCATTGGTCGACAGGCCAACTGAGTTGATTAGCAAGGGTTTCAAAGGTGGTGAAAAACACATCAACTTCTGCTTCTACAAAGGATGGCATTAACTTACTTGCATGTGATATATTAAAACTGACGGGAAGATTTGCAGTAGCTTGCTGGCGTTGAGTGAAGTGTGAAGTTTCCAAGGAGATTTCGCGTTGACGACACTCTAGAGCCAGAGTTGCTTGTTGCTTGTCATGTTCGCGTTGCATCTCCAACTCGCGTCGTTTGGTTTCAAGCTGTACTCGTTCCCGCTCCTGGAGTGTTTCAAGCTGTACTCGTTCCCGCTCCTGGAGTAGTGCAACCTCACGTTCCTGGAGGGCGAGTCCACGTTCGTGTTCTTCTCTCCTCAAGGCAGCTTCACGTTCTCGGAGGGTGATTTCTCGTTCTTGTTCTTCTCTTCGTATGGCAGCTGCTCGTTCTTGTTGTTCGAGGGCTTCCCTTTGCTGTTCGCGGGCTTCCTTTTGCTGCTCACGTTCAATCTTAGCCAGCTCTAGTTTAAGTTTCATCGTTGCCAAGTCAGTTTTATCTGCAATATAGTAAGTTTCATGAGTTTCAGAGTCTATCTTACCTTGCTCTAAATAGTAATCCAGCAACAGGTTGTGTAGGTCATTTTTGTTGGCTTGGTAGGGAACTTCTAGTTGATACTCATGTGCAAGAGTTTGTAGTTCAGTCCTCTTGGCACGACTCAAAGTCCCTATTTCACCTGCTGGATTTGCACGGAAAGTTTGGAGACGAAACATGGTGAAATTAGCAAATAAAGGTACACGAATGTTCAATAATGAAATGTCAGAAACAGGACAACGTGGCAACTGGTACCTATCCTGTGTGATCTTTAACAATTAACGTTAAGTGAAAGATATTAAATGATTAAATTAAATCAAGGGCGCAGGAAATCTTGTACCCGGTACTCATGTAAGAGAATAAGGGCAAGAAAATCCTACTAACAAATGAAACAGAGTTTCGAAAACAAATGAAACAGTTAAATGCTTCAAAAGTAAAATTGGTAGTCCAAGGATGTAGGCATACCTTGCCAAGTCTCTATAGGACATAAAGCAAGTTTTTCCTACTGAATTTAATATGATACTTACAGAATTAGCGAATTTTTGTGCTCTGAAAAAATAAGCTAATTCCCTACCGTTGTATGTATCATCATCTCTGACTGACGTGTAGGGGTGCGAGGTGTCAACTGGTGACGAGAACTGCTGCTGAGGTCCCAATTCAGCAACTAAAGTTCGAGCTAGAGGAACTATGGCCCTCTTTGTCCTCCTACAGTCAGATTGCAGAAGATTGGGTACTCTTGACCCGGGGCAGACCACAGTACCAGGGTACCAATATGATGATCTGTCAGAATGAGAAATATTCAAGGGACATAGATGGTAAATACGAGTAATAACATGGAGGGAGAGATGACCAATTAAGAGTATGACTGAGGCCTACAGTCACCACGTAATCCAAAGTTGTCTCACCTTCACTATATGTTACTCTCGTAATGCACAATACACCGCACCTTATAAAAAATGAAATTGAATGAAAAATAGTAAAGCTACGTTAACAAAGTTAAATACGCTTACCATCAATTACCACTTGGCACCAGTACCTGAGTGAAGCTCCCGGACAGGCCCCCATATAACTTGTGACGGTAACGCGTTGGTGTTCGGCTGTTTAAGGCTAGGGGTATGGCCTCGTCACATAGTTATAAAAAAAAAATAGAAAACTGGAACTTCGTCTGTGGTAAGGTAAGGAGAAGACACACAAAACACAAGTAAAACTTTAACAATGAAATTTTAATTACGTTAAATAAATCAAAACATGAAAATATGGACAAACAAATATGTATAATAAAATCAATGAATCAAAATAATAAGAATACTTAAATGACACAATGAAAGTTACGTTAAGGCAAAATAATAAGAAGTGCAACACAAAAGTTAAGTGGGAGGTGCTGGAATATTGGCTTAAAGCCACCACCTCTCTCAGTACACGCTAACGTCTAGCTGGGAGGAGTGCTGGCTACGAAAGCACGGAACATTCTGAGGACTGATGTTGGGGTGACCCCAGACATCAGGTAGTATTGGGGGGCGAGTGCAGGTGCAGCCAGACCGGCGACCAATCAGCGGAGCCGTAGCGATCAACGGGTAGTTTGGTGATTTGGGTCCGAACAGGTGGCGGGCTGCATACGTTTCTGCTCACCCTTGCAAGCCTTGCTGGTGCTGGTGTTGTTGTTGGACATTTCTTCCATAGTCTTTTATATAGTTGTGAAGACGTAATTTTGGAGGGAAGAGCAGGCTCAATCTCTTGAAGGAGATTATCGTCACAATATATATATATATATATATATATAATATATATATATATATATAACATATATATATATATATATATATATATATATATATATATATATGTTCCAGTTGCACCATTGGTGTACCATCACTCACTGGTGCTCAGCCTCTCAGGCCTCCGGCACCCTTCTCACCCCACGTCACCACGTCATTCCCCGTCTTTCTAAGAAAAAGAAAAATATAACTGTAAATGGAATATTTCCGCAGATGAAAGTGAAATATTTACCTTTATTTTTCATTTGATCTTTGACATACAGTAAAGTGTGATGTCTTGTAGATTGTGTAGAGTTGTAGTTGGTAGAAAGACTAATATTCCAACAGTTAGAGTCTGTTGTCCCACTTTCCCCCTGAATCCCCTAAAATTCCCCCTCCTATGGGGGGTACATTCCCCCCCCCCCTCCCCCTGGTTGAGACCCTCTGCACTAATTCTTCAACAATCCGCTCCCTGTGGTGTCCATTAGTTCTGCCCTGAATATAGTTATTATACCGGGCACATCTTCCCTACTGCCCACATACAGATAACTCACCAGAGCCGTTGCTGTAATGTTTATAATGAGTCCGTGTCCGTTGTGCGAGACACCACACTAAGCGGCAGTGGTAATTTGGTGTTGATATTCATTTATATATATGAGGGTAAATCGTCTCTGCTTCCCACTGTCATGTAGAGGCGCCAACTCCGACACAAATGATATTTAAACACATATTTCAACAAGATTTATTGTGAATTCCGTTTTCCCTTGATGGTACACTGGTGTAGCAACGTGGAAAGTGGCCTCCGTGACTCCCAGAAGAGGCTGTGTTATGTTAGTGTTCTACTAGACAAACTATATACCAAAACCTGTGCTTCAAAGTGAGTGGGTCATAACGCATATGTTACTCCCATGGATAACTGAATCCATGTTTCCAGCGTTCCACCCTCATGCACATGGAAATATGTTGCTTTAGATTCAGCTACTGGGAACAAAAGTTGCAAGTAGCACGGGTTATGGTGAGCCCGTAGTGGACTTACCTGGCACAGGATCGGGGCTGTAACTGACGCCCGCATTGGAAAATTGACTGATTGATGAAGATCAAGCCACCAAAGAGGTGACACGGGCATGAATAGCCCGTAAGGTATTTATATAATAGTCTCAGTGAGGTGTCCCTGGTTGAGGACCTTCATGACGACACTGTTATCCGGCAAGGGAGGTGCAGCTCTATTGTCCCTGGCGGTGGCGGCGACGACGACGGCCTCCACTCGCTTCTTCCGGCCGCTTTTGTGGGGCACCGGCGCCGTCTTGTGGAGGTTCTCCGCGTCCTCCAGGGTCTGGGGGAGGGGTCGCCCTGCGGTTTCCGGCAGGAGGGAGGCGGACAGCACCCCCAGGATCCCAATACACCCAAGCAGGAGGTAACTGTGCCATGGGCGAGCCTGCAGGATGGCAAAGGTAATTTGCAATACTATAAAAAAGTGTTGCTTCATACTAACCACCTACGCACAATATCTCACAGAACACTCCCACACTAACTACAAACCCACAAAGCCTCACAGGGCCCTCAAGTTCAAGTTTAAGTACGTTTATTGAGACAATCACATACATCTCAAAGGGATATATATACACATCGCTGCCACCCACACAAGGCCACATATACCAACCATGCTGAGGATGATGCTGGGGCTGAAGGTGTTGCAGGTGAGAGCGACGAGGGAGGCGAAGCCCGTGGCGCAGGTCCTGACAGGTGTTGGGTGGAGCTCGGCGGCCTGCAGGTAGGTCACCAGGAAGGTCATCGAGGAGCAGAACTTGGCCGCCAGCACCAGCGACGACACCGCCTTGTGGCGCTCCTCGTAGCCTGCACACACACACACCACACACGTACGGTAAAGCAAACTGGACTTGTTCAAGAAATTAACTTCCAACTACTTGGCCTGGACGGTATTCATAATTCATGCAGGTCGGCGTTCAATTCCCGACCGTCCTAGTGGCTGGGCACTATTCTTTGCCCCCCCCCGTCCCATCCCTAATCCTTATCCTGATCCCTGCAAAAGGCTATATAGTTGTGATGGCTTGGTGCTTTCCTTTGATAAATCCCTCCCTCCATCCTTCCGTCCCCGTGATGGATGAGTGGATGTAAAGATCTAGCCCCTGGTGGATGTGTGGGGTCTAAAGGTCAGCCTCTGGTGGATAGGTGGATGTAAAGATCTAGCCTCTGGTGGATATAAAGTCCCATAGGGATGATTGCCAACTTTTTTGCCTCCTTCCTGGGGAAAATTGAATTGATTTACTCAAGTGTAAACATTATTTCCTTTTTTGTCTTGTAAAAGTGTGTTTTCTTCTAAAAAAAAAGTGTATTTATTTAAAAGTGTTTACTACATCTTCAATAAAATATGTTTTGTCGTGGTGCAAAGTTTTATTTTAATAATTTGATGGCGTACAAAGATGTAATTAGTTATTAACCTTTAACTTCCTTTAAACCTTCCTCGTTCCTTTAATCTAATTTAAAAATCTTTCCTTTAAACCATGGCAAAACCTATTTTATTGGTTTGTAGAATATACCTTGAAATACATTTCTTAGGAGAGAACACACTTTTAAGGGAACTTTTAAGGGAACTTTTAAGGGGGATTTAGTTGGGAAAATATGAGTAATTTACCCATTTCTCAATCATTATACTACGGCCCTGACTCTTCCCTTTGATCATTTCTTTGTGTCTCATTCTCTCTCCTTACATCTTCTTTGTTGCCCTTATTCTTACTCTTCTTCCATCACTTCCCACCTTCCTTCCTGCTGACTCGTTCCTCTCTCTCTCTCTCTCTCTCTCTCTCTCTCTCTCTCTCTCTCTCTCTCTCTCTCTCTCTCTCTCTCTCTCTCTCTCTCTCTCTCTCTCTATCTATCTTACTGACTTCATATCACATGTCTGTTGAACCTCTCTGATTGCTTCTTTCCCTTCGACCATTTTCTCCTCCTGTCCAACCACTTGGGCTGGACGGTAGAGCGACGGTCTCGCTTCATGCAGGTCGGCGTTCAATCCCCGACCGTCCACAAGTGGTTGGACACCATTCTTTCCCTCTCCCGTCCCATCCCAAATCCTTATCCTGATCCCTTCCCCGTGCTATATAGGCTTGGCGCTTTCCCGGCAATTCCCTTCTCTTTCTCCTCCTCCCACTTTCTATGTTCACCTCTCCCCCTACACTCACCGAGGGCGAGGAGGGCAGCGTCCACGAGGAGAGCCGTGGCGGTGACGGCCATGACGGAGGCGTGGAGGGTCCGTCGGCCCACCCGAGGCAACAGCACCAGCACCAGCAGGTTGGCCGGCACCTCCATGGCCGAGGTGCAGAACCAGCCCACGAACGGGTTCTCCAGCACGTATGGGTACTTCATCGTCGTGCTGAAGTACAGCACCAGGTTCACCGTCCTGGGCAAGCACCGGGAAGGTGTATAATAGGTAGAGTGAGGGATATGGGTGGAGAGGTAGAGTGAGGGATATGGGTGGAGGGGTAGAGTGAGGGATATGGGTGGAGGGGTAGAGTGAGGGATACATGAGGTCAAGGGGTAAATGAGAAATATGGGAGGGGAGTGTGGATGAGAAGGTGGAGTGCAACACGTGATTAAAACAGATGAGAAAGCGAATGGGCGCAGGAGCTGGAGGAGGGGAAGGAAGACATGGAAATTTGGACCCAAAATATATCTATAAGAATGGCTAGGAATGATAATATGAACACATAATATGTTACGAATAAGAATTGACAAAACAAGTGTTTGAGGGGGAATAAGATAATAGATTGAAACACATATTAATACAAGAAACTCAACTGCCTGGATGAGGATGAGACCGGGAGTGTTTGCCAGACTCACTCACCCAGTGAGTCACCTCACCCACCCAGACTCACCTAGATAACCTTCCCCAACGTTCCTTACAAACTTAGATGAATCAAACTAATAAATATACATCCCCAGGCATGGAGCTCTAACTAGAGTACCCTCAAAACAGAGCTTGATATGTTCCAGCTATGTGAAACAAAACTCACTTCTGAGCCCTGAGAGAACCGGCCCTTACCACACTAATAGAGAAAAAAATAGGAGATGACATGACAACGACATAAACGATACTAATTGGAATTAACAAGGCGAACAAAGAAACAATGTTCAAAGCTAGAAACAAGAGCACTAGATGGAAACTAGAGGCACAAATGCGTCACGGAGACGCGAAAGTGAAAGAGTTACATATAAATGTTATCTGGATTAGGCTTTGTGGAAGCAAAATTGATTACATAATGTAGCTTTTATAGCTACAAATTATAAGAAAAATGAGAGACTATTTTGCATCAAGTTGCTGATATGTCGAAAGGCGAGGCTTAGAAGGTGACTCAGGAGCCTGTGAACACCTCAGAGCGCACCACCACCACCATACTCACACACACAAGTCACCGTAGCGCAAGAGAGGACTCACCAGCACACAGTAATGAGCGCGGTCCTGGAGGCGAGGCGAGGGTAAGATACCACCAGGGAGAGGACGCCCAGGGGCCCACACTTGGTCCGGTCAGCAGCAGGCGCGTCCTCCTCAGGGTGACCACACGCCTGCCACACCCGGGGGGAAGACGGAGCCACATGCTAGAATACTGTGCTGGAGGCGGCTACTGTATTGTGCATCGCATATAGTCATCCTTGAAACGGTAGTTTATTATGCACCCTATACTCAGGCTGTGAGCGGTAGCGCAAGAAGGATTACAGAGGGTATAAAAGGTGTTAATCAGACCTCAGCGGGTATTTTTATATTTGTAGTTTCACCTTAGAGTTATAATGGGGTGATGTGAGTGTTAAGACGGGGTATGACACGGGCTACATACCTGCTGCCTCGTCGTGTCATTATACGTCACAGATTGTCACGTATAATGAATAGAGAGGGTTACGTTGCTCGGTTCGAATACGTTTGTAACATTAAGGGAAATTGGTAAGGAAAACAGAAGAATTTTGGTATATATATATATATAATATATATATATATATATATATATATATATATATATATATATATATATATATATATATATATCTCCACTGTTCTTTCACATCCCACCCTCGTCCCCGTCTCTCCCTCTCATCTGCTCTTCTTGAGGTTATCTTGAGATGATTTCGGGGCTTATAGTGTCCCCGCGGCCCGGTCCTCGACCAGGCCTCCACCCCCAGGAAGCAACCCGTGACAGCTGACTAACACCCAGGTACCTATTTACTGCTAGGTAACAGGGGCATTCAGGGTGAAAGAAACTGTGCCCATTTGTTTCTGCCTCGTGCGGGAATCGAACCCGCGCCACAGAATTACGAGTCCTGCGCGCTATCCACCAGGCTACGAGGCCCCCTAAATTTCTCTCTCTCTCTCTCTCTCTCTCTCTCTCTCTCTGTCTCTCTCTCTCTCTCTCTCTCTCTCTCTCTCTCTCTCTCTCTCTCTCTCTCTCTCTCTCTCTCTCTCTCTCTCTCTCTCTCTCTCTCTCTCTCTCTCTCTCTCTCCCCCTCTCCATACCATACGTAGCCTGGCCATCACATCGTGGCTGGTTGGGGCGAGGTTGTTCATCTTGGCCACCCGCCGCAGCACCGCCGCCGCCTCCTGCAGACGGCCCCGCGCCACCAGCCACCTCGGGGACTCCTCGATCACCCTGAGACAGAGAAAGGGAACAAGAAAAAAACATAGATAAATATAGAGAAAAAAGCTGAATTTATCGGTAGACGAGACTAAGAAGACATGAAAGAATCTAAGACGAAAAATGACGATGTAAATACAAAGAATAATCCAAACATAGAATATGGAGAACATTGTAACCGTGGTATAGCCATTAGGTCATCAACAAGTGATTAACGAGCAGGTGAGATACGGTATACCTGATGTAGACGAGTGCGAGGAGGGCAGGAAGGCTGGTAACGAGGCTCAGCGTGACCCAGTGCCCGGTCAGCCAGGCTATGGGTGCCAGCAGGCACTGACCCACTGAAAAGAAGATGGAGGAGAGAGAGGTGACCATCCCACGGCGCTCGTCCCGTACCTGTTCCAGAGCTGCGTGGAATAGAAGTGAAAGGGGGGGGGTGCCAGTTGAGAGATCCGGTCGGACTCTAGCTCTCGTTGACTATTATTGTTGATTCTTGTGTTATATATTCACTTGGTTTCTTTGTACCCTACCTGAGATGATGACAATCTGGTAGATGACAGGGAGACCCATGGAGATGAGGAAGCGCAGTGCCAGCACCACCCACATGCCCCTCACCAGCACGTACACCGACCCCAGCACCGCCACCTTCACCGCCAGCAGCAGGAACACGCCGCGTCGCCCCACCCTGGCACGTGAGACGGGACAACATCAGGGTGACAATGGCATACTTCCTGTCCAGGCCTACACACACACACACACACACACACACACACACACACACACACACACACACACACACACACACACACACACACACACACACACACACACACATGCACACACATGCAATGCATTAGGCAGTGATGTGGTGGAGGCTGACTCCATACACAGTTTCAAGTGTAGATATGATAGAGCCCAGTAGGCTCAGGAATCTGTACACCTGTTGATTGACGGTTGAGAGGCGGGACCGAAGAGCCAAAGCTCAACCCCCGCAAGCACAACTAGGTGAATACACATCCCAGGAAGCAGCCCGTAGCAGCTGTCTAACTCCCAGGTACCTATATTTACTGCTAATTACTCTTCTGTGTGGTGTGGGTGGGGGGAGGGGGCAGATGTTTCAAACATGTATGCAGAAGACAGTTTTATTTGTAAATCACTAAAATAAAAATATGAATATTAATTAAACGTATAGCAACTGGAATTAAATAAGAAAAGTACAAGTTATCCTTTACATTCCTGCTATTATTCGTTTTCTATAAACGTATCATCATTGAGAAAGAAGAAAGTGGTTGCCGAACCAGAGACCAATTTAAACTTAAATTTTCAATTTATTTTACCCAGCATAGCTCTAGTGTTTAGTATTCATAATACTTGTAAGTACTATAATAGTAATAATAATAATGCTCAAAGAAATCACATCAACATGATGTATCAGTGAAAAAATCAGTAGAAGTCATGATGAGGATTAGAACCAGCACACTGGGTACTCCCAGGTTCGAATCCTCGTCATGGCTTCGACTTATTTTCTCAATAATAATTATAGTAAATAACAATAATAATTGATCTGGCCGAGGTCAATTCTATAACATTGCTTTAACAATAACATTATGATAATAGCATTGGGTCCATACAGTGTTGTGGCCCCACAATACTTACTGTACAGTGTACGTGTACTGAGAGAGTACTTATATATATATATATATATATATATATATATATATATATATATATATATATATATATATATATATATATATATATATATATATATATATTTATACAAGAGTTCTTACATTCTTGTACAATTTTTGTTCTTACATGCTTGTACTTCATCATCTCGCAGTGCATGTCTCCGTCTCGGATCAGGACGTGCGTCTTTGTTAATTAATTAAGGTTGCGGGAGGCCTTATAGTAATCCGTGAAAATCACCGGATTATTATACACGCAAACAGCAAATCCTGCGAATTATCATTGATTACCCACAGCGAGGAACCCACTGAGAGCGCAGCCTCGTCCAACAACACAGCCTCAGCTCCTTATTGTTTGACTGGCTGGGTTAACCAGTCAGTTCTTTTATGATAAAGCAAAATCTTGTTAACTCGCTGAGTCCAGGGGGAAAACAGGTGTGGTTAACTGACCTATAGCCCTGGTTAAGTCCTGGTTAGTTGTCCATGACGCTCTCGTGATTTGACCAGGACCTAATTTGAAGTGTTTTTGTCCAGTCACGAGCATACGGACCTCGTCCAACCGACCGAGGTCAATGCTTAATTGCCCAACCACTTGGGCTGGACGGTAAAACGTCGGTCTCGCTTCATGCAGGTCGGCGTTCAATCCCCAACTGTCCAAGTGGTTGGACACTATTCCTTCCCCCCGTCCCATCCCAAATCATGGGATTTGGGATGGGAAGAGTACATCAACCAGGTAAATCCTTGTCTTGACCTGACCCCTTCCAAGTGTTATATAGTCTAATGGCTTGGCACTTTCTCCTGATAGTTTCCTTCCTTCCTTCCATACTTAATAGTTCGAAGATGCTCCCAAATTGTGGTACTTAAATTCCACTAAACCATCTAAATTTTGTCCAATCTTGGACTGCATATAAGACATTTTGTATACTTTGGAGGCATAAGTAATCAGCAAATAACACCAACCTATGCTAGCCTTAACTATACACAAAATATAATACATAATAATATTAATTTATGTCTACGAAAATACAACCTAATGATTACACAGTACAAACAAAATACGAGTGTGGCTTTGAGGCCGGCCGCAACGGAGCCTGGGTTGAAGGAAGATGTAGGCAGGTGGGGCTTGGGTTGGGGATGGAATAGGGTCTTGTTGACGAGATGGAGACGGAAGAAGGGGTAGGGAAGAGAGAGGACCCAATGTAGGGGGGAAAAAGAGATGAAAGAGGTGTTTATACGTGACTATACGTAGACGCTTTGCTACTTACTTGTCGGCCAGAGCGCCGTAGACGACGCAGCCGAAGAGGTTGCCGAGCATGGAGGCGCGGAGGACTCTCTGGATGCCCACCGCCCCTCCACAAGCCCACCCGAACTCTGTCGACGCCGTCTCCTGGAAATGCGTGCGGTCGAAGTCGTAGCCGAATACACACTCTGGGAAAGGATACCAAAGAGATACGGACAGTCGCTGACAGGCGAATCATACCAAATCCTGTTTCTTTTTATTGTTGTGGCGGTAGTGTTGACATGGTAACAATATTGTTAGCAGTAATGGTAGTATTCTCAATTGAAGTATTAGTATCAAGAGTAGTGATAACATTGTAGTAGTATTAGTGGTAGTGGTAGTAGTAGTTGTATTAGTTGATGTAATAGTAGCAGTATTAGTATTGACAGTCGTTGTGGTTAGTAGCCATGGTTGCAATAGTAACGATGGGTTGGATGGTAGTTTAACAGAAAGAATTAACCAAAACTTCAATTCAAATCCACGTTTTACATTGATTGATCAGACATCAACATTCCATAAACAAAGAGCTGAGTTTAGATGTAATGATCTATTGCAGGTGCAGTTAATTTGTAGTACTTTGTAATGGTGTTGGTGGCAGCGTAAGTCTGGCTGTTGGAGAGGAGGCTGTTGGAGAGGAGAGAGGAGCCAGGAGTCCCTTTCTCCCCCTCTCTCTCTCTCTCTCTCTCTCTCTCTCTCTCTCTCTCTCTCTCTCTCTCTCTCTCTCTCTCTCTCTCTCTCTCTCTCTCTCTCTCTCTCTCTCTCTCTCTCTCTCTCTCTCTCTCTCTCTCTGTCTCTCTGTCTCTCCCTCCGCCTACCCCTCCCTCCCTCCCTCTATCCATCCCTCCCAGTCACAGCTTGTGACCTAGACATAAATATTGACTAAGGAGCTCCGCATTCCGCCTCTATTCTTTTCATAACATTATTATATATTCATAAAATTCCTGAAGGAAGCCCACCAACACCCACGGCCTGGTGAGCACCAGAGTGTGTGTTTGTGTGAGCACCAGAGTGTGTTTGTGTGAGCACCAGAGTGTGTTTGTGTGAGCACCAGAGTGTGTTTGTGTGAGCACCAGAGTGTGTTTATGTGAGCACCAGTGTGTGCTTGTGTGAGCACCAGAGTGTGTTTGTGTGAGCACCAGTGTGTGCTTGTGTGAGCACCAGAGTGTGTTTGTGTGAGCACCAGTGTGTGCTTGTGTGAGCACCAGAGTGTGTTTGTGTGAGCACCAGTGTGTGCTTGTGTGAGCACCAGAGTGTGTTTGTGTGAGCACCAGTGTGTGTTTGTGTGAGCACCAGAGTGTGTGTTTGTGTGAGCACCAGAGTGTGTTTGTGTGAGCACCAGAGTGTGTTTGTGTGAGCACCAGAGTGTGTGTTTGTGTGAGCACCAGAGTATGTGTTTGTGTGAGCACCAGAGTGTGTGTTTGTGTGAGCACCAGTGTGTGTTTGTGTGAGCACCAGAGTGTGTGTTTGTGTGAGCACCAGTGTGTGTTTGTGTGAGCACCAGAGTGTGTGTTTGTGTGAGCACCAGAGTGTGTGTTTGTGTGAGCACCAGTGTGTGTTTATGTGAGCACCAGAGTGTGTGTTTGTGTGAGCACCAGAGTGTGTGTTTGTGTGAGCACCAGAGTGTGTGTTTGTGTGAGCACCAGTGTGTGTTTATGTGAGCACCAGAGTGTGTGTTTGTGTGAGCACCAGTGTGTGTTTGTGTGAGCACCAGAGTGTGTGTTTGTGTGAGCACCAGTGTGTGTTTGTGTGAGCACCAGTGTGTGTTTATGTGAGCACCAGAGTGTGTGTTTGTGTGAGCACCAGTGTGTGTTTATGTGAGCACCAGAGTGTGTGTTTGTGTGAGCACCAGTGTGTGTTTGTGTGAGCACCAGAGTGTGTGTGTGTGAGCACCAGAATGTGTGTTTGTGTGAACCAGAATGTGTTTGTGTGAGCACCAGAATGTGTTTGTGTGAGCACCAGAGTGCGTGTTTGTGAGCACCAGTGTGTGTGTTTGTGTGAGCACCAGAATGTGTTTGTGTGAGCACCAGAGTGCGTGTTTGTGAGCACCAGTGTGTGTGTTTGTGTGAGCACCAGAATGTGTATTATCCACCGGATGTAGCCGGTTTCATTTGCAATGGAATATATTGAGTCGGTAGGCTCGAGCCATATAGGCCTATACGATCCACCTCATTGATCAGGGATTAGTACAGTTGTTCACTATCCTCTCTCCCCCCCCTGTCCCTCCACAACACCTCCTACCCCCTAACCTTTCCTGAACATCCGTAAGCCTACCTTACTCCTTTCCCTTCCATTCTGCTTCCCATTCTCCTCCCTCACTGTCTCCCCCCCCTCTCTCTCTCTCTCTCTCTCTTCACCTATGTCTTCACTCACATGTCTTCACCTGGTCGTCTTGACTCACCTGTGGTCAGTGTGGCTGGAGGCGGGTGTTGGTTGGTCTGCTGCCACGCCAAAGCGGCCGCCAGGTAGGTCTGCTCCTGCAGGGTCTGGTTGGTGCTGAAGCTGCTGGAGGAGGAGCTGTTCAGAGCCGCGGGGAAGTCGTACATGGTGCAGGAGCTCAGCTTCCCGGAGTCGTCCCTGGAGGGGGAATGTAGATGGGTGGTGTGGTGGGTTGTGGTAGGACGTGATGAGTCGTGGTGGGTCATAGTCGTGGGTGATGATGCAGGTCACAGTTGTAGGTGTTGGTGGGTATTTTTTGTTCAGGGATGTTCATACGCAGGTCGTGGGTGATGGTGGTGGGTCGCCGGGGGATGGGTGGTGGTAGTGGTGGTAGTAGTGGTAGTGGTGGTTCATTGTGGTAATAATATCAGTATGACAAACGCGCGTGAGAATACAAACCTCATCCTCGTATCCTTAAGAGTGATGGTCCTCGGCCAGTGAGGCTGGGCGTCGACCTTACTGATACACCGCTCACTCATTACCACAGAGAATAGAGTCTGCAGTCTGAGAATAGAGTCTTAGACTCTATTCTCGCCTAGAGAAGAGGTGAGAATAGAGAATAGACTCTATTCTCTAGAGTCCTCACTACAGTCTACAGTGAGCGTAATGATCTACAAAAGTTCCCCATGTGTTAACACTTCCCACAGCACAAGGGTTAACTCCCTTAAAAAGAGTGACGTTGGATTAACTTTTACTTATTAATAATTTAATAATAATACTTTTAAAGCCTCGTGTGTTCACATCTGAACACCTATTAATTTTGTAAGCATAGATATACGTAAGTTTAGTTCATCTGAAAACTGTACATGAAGGACTGAAAACTGGAGACGCTTTTTTCATCCACAGGGTTATAAACCCATGGAACCGCCTACCCGCCCAAGCCGTAAGTGTCAAAACTGTTAAATGATAAAAAAAACTGGAAAAGATCATCAAGGCAAATGGGGGGACCTTTGACAAGCCGCCGGCTTCCTGTCCCCGTCGAGGCCCACTAGCGTTAGCGGCCGTCAGGTCAATAGAAAAGTTATTAACGTGTAGAGTGAGGAGGAGAGACTGACCTTGGGATGGAGAGATTCTGCCACGCGTCGTGTGAGAGTGAGTGTGGGGGCGGTGGGAGGGCGCAGGTGTGTGGGGGCAGGTAGATCATCAACAGGATGTTCAGGTAGGCACAGGGAGCCAGCAGGCACACGGGTGCCACCCACGCCCATACCAGCAACCTCTCGTAGGCGCCGCCTCTGTCCGCCCACTGCAACACCTGATCTAACTCCCTACCCTGGTCTCCGTCACCTCCACGCGTCTCCCTGGCCTCCACCGCTTCGCTGTCACCAGACCTCTTCCTGAGCCCACCTTCCCGGAAGACATTCTCCACCTCCATGGCGTCCTTCTCCTTGGAGGCTGCAACACCTCCATTAACCATATCATCGACCATCGCACGGGCCGCCTTTCCCGTTACTGGGTGCAAGAGTTTCAGGTCAACAGGGGGAGGCATTCCGACTTGTGGGTAGTAGATGTAGATTGTAGATTGTGTTGATGGTGACCAGGTGTTGTGTTGATGGTGACCAGGTGTTGTGTTGATGGTGACCAGGTGTTGTGTTGATGGTGACCAGGTGTTGTGTTGATGGTGACCAGGTGTTGTGTTGATAGTGACCAGGTGTTGTGTTGATGGTGACCAGGTGTTGTGTTGATGGTGACCAGGTGTTGTGTTGATGGTGACCAGGTGTTGTGTTGATAGTGACCAGGTGTTGTGTTGATGGTGACCAGGTGTTGTGTTGATGGTGACCAGGTGTTGTGTTGATGGTGACCAGGTGTTGTGTTGATGGTGACCAGGTGTTGTGTGATGGTGACCAGGTGTTGTGTTGATGGTGACCAGGTGTTGTGTTGATAGTGACCAGGTGTTGTGTTGATGGTGACCAGGTGTTGCGTTGCTTGGTATTAGGTATAACCTCAATAACTGACGTTTTCTTCTTGTAGATGTTGTCAGCGGTAATAACTGCGTGCGCAGCTCCACGACTCCACCTGGCGGGGAGAAGAGGTACTAAGATAAACACACAATAATCGAATTGTAAACACACAGACTATCTTAAATAACTGACTGAGACGGTGTCTGAAGGACGTGAATTTTCCCCGTCACTCACAAGTGTGAAAAAAGTAACCTGATCTCACACTAAAGACCCGGCCTCACCTTACTGTATCCCGGTGACTGAAGGAGCTAGGTAACCACTAACCATATGGACGCCACCAAATAATTCACACAGTACATAGCATATGTCACAACAGTTCATTTTCCCGACTTATTTAGCTAACTTTTCTTTTTACATGTAGTTCATCAAAACCTAGATCAACAGACCTATGATCTGTTGTAAATAGTATTACAACTACTGGAACACGTGTACACAGGTTAATTACGCGTTAAGTTAGAATTCATTTTAAATAATTATTTAGCTTGGTTAACCTAGGTAAATTGGGTCTAGCTCAGTTAACGCGCCGGTTTAGTAACAAACTTTTGTCATATCGTGGATGGCTGAATTCAAATTGTTGTCCAATCAGAAGCAAACTTTTGAGATGAACCAATGAGATCAGCAGCAGTTGTTCTCCGTCAATCAAAAGAGCATGTTGAGAGGGAGTGTTGTGTTCCAACATGGGAAGCAAGTCAGTTGGCAAGCAACTGTAGGAAGAATGGCTGCATTTGGATAGCTGTGTCAGTGGGCTTCTGGAATGTGGCCTTTGAGGTCGGGCACGCAGTCAAGATCTTTTTACGGGCTCACCATAGCCCGTGCTGCTTGGAGCTTTGTTCCAGGTAGCGGATCTTTAACAACAACAACAACAGTCAAGATCTTGCACTAGGGATGCAAATTAAGCATGAGAACTGTTGGCCAGCGATAGCATGTGGCCAACCCAATACTTGACCAAAGAAAACAATGCAGAAATGAAAGGATAAGACATATCTCAAACAATCAACTGGGAGCGAGACAAGTGATGGGTCTACATTTTCGAGGTCAAAAGAGAGCTTTCTTAGGAGGAAAACCAACACATGGTCGGAGACACTATAGTGTGACCCAGGAAGGAATGTAAGGAGTTATGGTGGCGTGAGACAGTCTTGGAGCTGCGGTGTATTGTAAGCTATACAAAACTGGCCTCAAAGAGATTGGTGATTAATGAATATTAAGCCACCCAAGAAGTGGCACGGGCATGAATAGACCGTAAATAAGAGAAAGAGGAAGCAGCTAGCATCATAGCGAGCTCCGTATGTGAGGCGAGTGCGAGGTTCAGCGGCGCATTCCAATGACAATAATTTATTACTGACTTTGAACCGACAAACTTGCCCCTGATATACAGTGGATACAAATTTGCATATAGTGTAGCGTTAGCCTGGGTGGGTGCCAAAAGAAGGAAGTAATATGATGACTGTGTTTTCCGTTCTTTATAAAAACAAAAAATCTATTGATTTAGGATTTTTAAATCTCCGAAGTTTGTGTACCTGAGCTAACGAAGAGTATATGTCCTCATATGTAGAAGAGACATTACAAGAGTGGAGATTGTTGCTATTGCCGAGAGATTAGTTTATAAGTAAGTCATTATCAAAAGAAGGCACGACTAGCTTATACGAATTCATAACAAAACGAAGGTAAGGTGTTATATTTTTTTGCAATGCCTGTTACAGAATGTTGCTGGTTCAGTTATAGTGCAGCTAAGAAGGAAAGGTTAATACATATATATATATATATATATATATATATATATATATATATATATATATATATATATATATATATATATATATATATATATATATATATAAAATGGTGCACTATATATGTGTGTGTGTTAAGGTTTTGGGTCGAAATCTGGTTGTCAAAGATATTTGTGGTAAGGGATCACAATACCTCTGGTGACTTGAAAGGCTCTTCTGTCCTCGGCCCAGATGAGAGGAAGGAGAGGAATCTATATCAAAGTTGATCTCGTCATCAAATGATTACAAACAACCTGAACATATCAAAGTGGTCAGAGAAGCATTAACTAATACAGACAAAAGACTTGGATTACATAGAAGTTCAAATGTGTGTTCTGGGAGCATGAGGCTCACAGCTGACTGTCTGAGCATAGGGAAAAGGGTTCCAGTTTGAGCCAGTGGTGGTCACTGCCTCGTGACGCTTCTCACCAGTGGTGGTCACTGCTTCGTGACGCTTCTCACCAGTGGTGGTCACTGCCTCGTGACGCTTCTCACCAGTGGTGGTCACCGCTTCGTGACGCTTCTCACCAGTGGTGGTCACTGCTTCGTGACGCTTCTCACCAGTGGTGGTCACCGCTTCGTGACGCTTCTCACCAGTGGTGGTCACTGCTTCGTGACGCTTCTCACCAGTGGTGGTCACCGCTTCGTGATGGTTCTCACCAGTGGTGGTCACTGCCTCGTGATGCTTCTCACCAGTGGTGGTCACTGCCTCGTGACGGTTCTCACCAGTGGTGGAAAGTGACATTCGTGCACATTAGTGACTAGAGAGGCAGCAGGAGAGGGTTTCTGCGGCTGTCAGGACGCGGGTGAAGGAATGAGACTGATCAATACAAGAGTGTTGGTGGCGTGTTCTCACCTCGCATGGTTGACACGGTTCACCAGGTCGCCTCGCCTGGCCTGGCCTCGCCTGGCCTCGCCTGGCCTGGCCTCGCCTGGCCTGGCCTCGCCTGGCCTGGCCTCGCCTGGCCTTGCCTGGCCTGGCCTGGCCTGGCCTCGCCTGGCCTCGCCTGGCCTCGCCTGGCCTCGCCTGGCCTCGCCTGTCAAACACCTAGCGTGTGTGTCAGAGGTCACGACCTCTCCGTAGGGTGCAGTCGCACCTCCACAGATCTCCAGAATCAGCTAATGATACTGGTAATGGCTCCAAAGGGCCACTACTTACGGGCTATTCATGCCCGTGCCACCTTTTGGGTGGCTTAATCTTCATCATCATCACCTAACTTGTACGCATCCCCAGCCCCCCTAGACATCCGTAGCTGTACAGACGTCACCGGCCTGTAGATATCCAAGACGTGGGGACATCCTTGGCTTGTAGACTCGGGGGTGGGACGCAGAACTACGATTGGTAGGTATTTGCGTAACACTAGTTACGACTTGTGATCGTAACTTTGCCGTGTAACGTAGGAAGAAACATATAGAGGAAAGGGAGACATTCAGCTTGGGTAAACAGGCGTTCTAAACTACCTCTCAAGCGCCGGGTAACTCTCAAGGGTGAAATAAAACGAAATTAGTAAGTTTACGCAATTATAATCTTAACCAATTGGATTCAATTATCATTGACCTAGTTTACTTGACTCACGTGAAGGATATATTTAGACGTTGACTCTCCACGTGGAGTGTATTACCACAGTTCTGTAATTGGTTTACAGGACAGCCAATAAGACCATGGGTCTAGCATGGAGAGGGACCCCATTGGTCCACATTCCCCGTGAAGGTGTGGTTAAAGCACGTGAAGTTAACAGCTGTTGCTCCTCCTTCTAATTTGATGGTGATGTAAACTTATATAAGAGAAGGGATCTATCAGGGGAAAGCGCCAAGTCATTGTGGTTATTTAGCACTTGGAAGGGGTCAGGATAACGATTTGGGATGGGACGGGGGGAAGGAATGGTGCCCAACCACTTGGACGGTCGGGGAATGAACGTTGACCAGAATGAAGCGAGACCTTCGCTCTACCGTCCAGCCCAAGTGGTTAGTATAAGTTATTGATAGATTCAGGCGGAACTTCTTAAAACATAGCCAACAGAGATATAATATCTGTACAATGGGGCAGGTAGACACTTCAGAGGACTGGCCTGTAGGGAGAATACAGAGACTTGAGATACTGAACAGACTCAGGGAGATAGACAGCTTAGCTGTGGAACGGGTCCTGGAAAGAACTGTCCGATTTGACGGGTTCTGGGAATAGAGTGGATTCTGAATCTCCATTGCAGACGAAGTCACAATAACGTGGCTGAAATATGTTGACCAAATCACACACTAAAAAGTGAAGGGACGACGACGTTTCGATCCGTCCTGGACCATTCTCAAGTCGATTGTCGATTCTCAAGCACAATCGACTTGAGAATGGTCCAGGTCGGACCGAAACGTCGCCGTCCCTTCACTTTCTAGTGTGTGTGGTTTGGTCAACTGAATCTCTATTTATCATCTATGTTGACAATAATTTGAATAATTATTATTATCTGCCCTGTTATGCTTGTGATGAAAAATATTGTAACGCCAGACTACAAGTGTCCATCACCCTGGACATTTGTCCAGGGTGATGGACAAGTGATACTTGTCCAGGGAATACAAGTGGCCATGAGCCTGACGGCAGGTTAAAGGGTTGTTAAGATGCCCCAGTCATCCCTCAGTCATTCAACGCTCCAAGGTTTGTACCCAGGATGGAATGTCTACTCAGGGGAATCCTGACCAGATATTCTAATCTAAAAGTATCTAATTTATATTATCCTGGTCTTACATTAATATTATCTAATTCATTACTTTATATACATTAAGATTCATTCATAAAAAGTAAAAACAAAAGTAGGGAATTACATATTATTAATGAAAGTCCAGGATTATATGTTCGAGTGCTTTATAATTGGTCTGTAGTCTTAAAAAACATCATTGTATGCAAACATTGTATCATT